CACCAAGCCTCCGCTTGCTGACGGGACGCGACGCGTTTTCAAGGCCAAGTCGAGCATACACGCGCAACGGGGCCTCTGGGTCGCTATAACTATCAATGTTGCGCCTAGACGGCGAGTAGACTTATTCGAGACGTCTGGGCTGCGCTGGTCATGCTCTGTTCGCCGTTGGACGGCTGGATGGACAGGGGTCCTGTTGACAGATTTTCACGCGCAAGCCTCGGTAGCGGCACGCAGGAGCGCTGTGGAGTTGTGCTCTTGCATAGCCACTCATTTAAGGTCTCTTCATCGACCTTCGAAGGTGGTGCTGCGCTCAGACACTGGGACTTGTCGTCGTCGTCATCATTGTTCGGTTGGCGCACCTCTTAGAGGCAGGTGGCTGCGAGACGCGCCGCGCGGAAATTCGGGTGCGCGCGCGTCTCCGCCCGCGTAAGCGGACACGCAGCAGCGGTGCGATGTGCCACTGCCCGAGCGAGCCGCTTAACGTGCACGGTGTAGCATTCTGTCGTCCTCATCATCATCATCGTCGTCGTCGTCGTCGCTGACATCCCTCACGTTCTCGTCGTCTCTCCAATCATTCAGTCCATGATCAAGGAGGCCATCATTGCCCACCCAGAGGATGCCCGCAAGGGCATCGGACGCCAGACCGTCAAGAAGTACATCCAGACCAAGCATCCCAACACCGCTGCCGTAACCCCCGCGCAGTTCAACAACCTGGTCAACAATGCCATCAAGAAGGGTGCTGAGAAGGGTGTCTTCGTTCTCCCCAAGGGAGCCAGCGGCAGCGTCAAGCTTGCCCCCAAGGCCAAGGACGCCGCCAAGAAGAAGCCAGCTGCTAAGAAGCCTGCGGCCAAGAAGGCCACCACTGGTGCTGCCAAGCCCAAGAAGGCAGCTACGGCCAAGAAGGCCACCACCGCTACCAAGACCAAGAAGGTGAGCAAGTCGATCTCATATTTGTCACCGTCATCGGTGATGTAGCTGCTGCACGCTGACCACTGCTTCATTTTCCACCTAGCCCGCCGCCAAGAAGACTGCGTCTTCCACAACGAAGAAGGCGGTCGCCAAGCCAGCTGCTAAGAAGCCCGCCGCCAAGAAGGCCGCTGCGCCCAAGAAGGTAAGCATGGCGTCCAGCAATTTATTAGCGTTCGCGGTCAGCTCTCTCGCAAAGCGTGCTGGCCGCTGACGACTGCCCTCTGTCATTCGTCTTCATCTAGCTTACACGACCCCCTCTCGCCGCTACCCAGGCCGCCGCACCCAAGGCAAAGAAGGCATAAGTCTGTCGAGTGAAGACGTTTTCCTCTCCGACCGTCACCTTATGTACTGCTCCTGCTCATTCACTTGGCTCTAGACGGTCCGTCAGCTCGGCACAGCCTCGATGTGCTGTATCGTCGAACCGATCTTGTCCGACCCATACGCAATACATCGCGTTGTGCTTGTACCACTCGCGATCATCGATCACACCCAACTAACCCTCATGCCCATCAAGCAGCTCGGGCCGTGCATCGACGACATGATACGCACCATTCGTGGTTCAACTTTTCCTCGCCCTACACACGCACCTATCCCTCCCATCACCCCCATTACCTTTCTCGCCTCGCGATTGGCTTCATTGCCATTATCTGTACTCTAGCTCCATTTTAGTCCAGTCGCGAATCGCATCACTGAGCCCTTTCCTTTTCCTTGCTGATCATTACAGCTGGAGTTGAGCGAGCCTGCTCGAGTCCCCCCCTCTTCCCTGCTGCGCGCTCGACCGGCCGCTTCTCGTCGCGTCGATGAGCGCTCCGCGTCGTGCTTCCCACACTCGAGACTGCGAGCCGAACATGTGAGCGTCATGGGCCGCGCGAGCACGTCCGATGTACGCTTTAGTACTACTAGTGCGGGAGGTGTGCATGGTGCGAAGCGAGGCAATGCTTGAGTGGGTAGCAAACCAAAGTCGAATGGACGACGCGAAAGGAAAGTTCGAAAATGAAAATGATGCTTGCTTGCTGCCAGTTCGTAGAGGCGTCAGTCATTTCAAGATTGACATTCACGTGATTTGGACGCACATCCATCTGCGCATCGGTCGAGGTCACGTGCCGCGTTTGCGGGATATCTGTGGAGGGACGGCGCGGTCGCTTGCCTGCAGTCAGAGTGCTAGCATGCGCGCTGCGCTCACTATCATACGTGCTCGTTGCGCGGCTTTGAACGCTCTCGGAACCCTACTCACGACTATGGATGCGAATTGGTGCCGAGTATTGAGTATGAGTCGACAAAGGATGGTATGGTTCTTTCCCTCTCCTGCCATCTGCCATCACTCATTTAGATTGCTGAGCGCTACCTCTCCATCCGAGCCTTCCGATCCAAGACATCGAACGCTGAATTTGCGGATCGAAGCATAGCTCGTGCTGAATTATTGCGCTATACTTTTGACTGATACAAGCGCTTACTACGCGCACAAGACCGGATCGAATCTGGGACGACCATGGCCGCTCCCTTATACAGTAAGTGCTTCCACAACCTGTCGCGTGAGGGAATGAGGATGAGCAGGAGCGGTCGGGAAGGATAGAAGGAGCTTCATCGATGCTGAGTGCTCCCTCGCTCGTGCTACTGCAGCAACGGCCTCCGGTCAGCTCTTTCATGCGTAAGTGTCTGCCCAAAGTCGTTTTCAGAGTATCGCTGTGTTGATGCAAGCGCTCGCCTTCACGGCATCCCTTCTCGATCTCGCACATGCGCAGAGGCAAGATCCTGATAGCCACCGTTGGCTTACCTGCGCGAGGCAAGACGCATCTCTCCCACGCGCTCGAGAGGTACCTTCGATGGATCGGCGTCAAGTGCGCCGTGCTGAGCCTGGGAGACTATAGAAGAAAGGTTCTGGGTGGAGCAGGAAGCGTGCCTGCCGATTACTTTCATCATGGTCAGTATATGCGTCACATGCAGACCTCCATGCTCTTCGCTTCCGGATTGCGTTATTCCCAAAGTGCTCATTGCCTTGCAGCCCCTTCGGCACGTCTGATCCAACCCTGGCAGGCGCCAAAAGCCCCGAAACGGCCGCATTGAGGGCAAAAGTGCAAAGCGGATTCGACGAGTCGGTGTTGCAGTACTTTGCTTCCGGTGGACAAGTGGTCATCTACGATGCCAACAACGGTACCGTATCGCGTCGAGCAGCTCTACGAGAAAAGTTTGGCAAGCAGCTAGGCATCCACGTCATGTTTCTCGAAAGCATCTGTACGGATCAATCCATCGTCGATGCAAATATTCGCAGCGTCAAGATATCAAGTCCAGATTACGAGAGCTGGAAACCTGAAAAGGCGGTGGATGATTTCAAGAAGCGCATCAAGGCGCACGAACAGTTCTACGAACCTATAGAACAACCCAGCTTCCCTTACATCAAGGTCGTCAATGTGGTGAGTTTGAAAGCTCGTGTTACAGCTCGCATGCCACATGCGTGCTCATTGGCTGCACAATCGGCAACTTTTCAGGGTCAAAAAGTCATTGTCAACAATATCCAGGGCTATTTGCAGTCTCGTCTCGTCTTCTTCCTCATGAACATCCACAATAGGAATCGCAAGTGAGTACGACTCGTCGCGCTCGTCATGGCAACGCCGCCATCCTTGCGCATGCCTCCTCATCATTGGTGCTCACATTTCCATCTCCGGTAACTCAACGCCTGCTTTAGAATCTACTTCGCTCGAGCAGGGGAAGCATTGATAGAGCATCTTTACAAAGCGGACGCGGATCTCTCCTCGCTGGGCTGGGAGTATGCGGACAAGCTGCTCGAGTTTGTGGAACAGAAGAGGAGCGAGAGCAAGGATCGGGCTGTCAAGCTTGCAAAAGAGGGCAAGCTGGAGAGAGGGCCGGAGGATGACGAGCCGGGAAGCGGACCTGGGGAGGAAGGCAAGGTGCTAGAGGTGCGTTGGCCTTTTGCTTCCCACGAGCAGCAAGGAAATGGCTCACATGGCTCCCCTCCCTCTGGCCTTGCGTTGCGGTTTGCATCGGTAGGTGTGGACCTCGGCAAGGAGAAGGTCTTCGCACACAGCTCTACCTTTTGCCGAAAAGGGCTATCGCGTCATCGAAAGGTCGCAATTGAGCGAAATGAACCCGGGAGTGGTGGATGGGATGAGTGCGGAGGCTATCAAGCTGCGTTTTCCGGACGAATGGCAAAAGAAGCTCAAAGAGGTGGGTCAGGGCTCAACACAGCGCTTCACTCCACACCTCGCAATGCTCACGCTGTCAGGATGTTCTTCACAGCCCTACTCGCACCGGTATCCGCGTGCGGAGAGCTACCATGATTTGTCGGTGCGTTTACGATCAAGCACAAGGCTTGCCTCGCTGCGTCACTCACCGCTCTTTCTACACCTGTGCCACCGTCGCGCAGATCCGGCTGGAACCGATCATTTTCGAGCTGGAAAGAGCTTCGACGGACGTGCTCATCATAGGCCAGTCGTCCGTCTTGCGATGCCTGATCGCCTACTTTCAAGTGAGTCATTACTGTTCTCCCAGGCGCATATGCTGCTTTGTGAATCGCTTTTGCTCACGCTACGTGCTGGTGCACTCGCACGCAGGGCTTGACGCCCAACGAGATTCCAAAGATCAAGGTGCGAGAAGGAGAGCTTGTCATTCTGTCTCCTCAAGCGTACGGCACAGCGACTCAAAGGCTAGAGTGAGTGTGCGCGCGCGCGCACACGTCGATGAATTTCGCTCGCTCACTCGCATCCATCCTCTTCAATGCGCTTTGACCCTTTCTACAGCTTTTGGAACCCCGTTGAGAAGCGGAAGAGCCGCGACGAGGCTATTCAAGCTGAGAGCGGCGGTGCTGACGGATTGCCCGCTGCTGGCTTGAGCCTGCACGACGAAGACACGCCAGCAACAGCTGGATTGGGACCGTCTGCATGATGCATACATTCGATCCATTGATCCAATACTCCTACGTCAAGGTTGACAAATGTACAACAAGTCTCGGGAGCATGAAAAGAGGCAGTCTGAGTCTTGCATGTTCTAGCCTACCACGCACTGTGCGTCTCTTTCACTTGCTCAGTAGTCGCCGTGGAATTGAGGTCGAAAAGTGCTAGCGGGTCTAGAATGCTCCGCTCCGTCGGCCCTAGCAAAGCGCCCAAACTCGGGTTCCCCTCTTCGACGCTGCCTTCGTTGTTCCTTGCCCGCCGATGCATTGGAGATGGACGACTTGTTCTTCTGCCCCACCGAACCTGACATCCTATCAGATAGCGATGAAGCGTTCTGAGCGGCATGTTTGCGCGACGTAGTGGCAGCGGAAGGTCTATCGAACCAATCGTCCACGTGATCCTTTGCGCGCTTCTTTCTCCTCGACTTCTTGCTGCTGCTACCGCTCCGCAAAGAATCCTCGCTGTCCCTTTCTCTCTCCCTCTCCCTCTCACGCTCGCGCTGCTTTTGCTGCGCCGATTGGGCCTCTCTTTGCTGCAGACGAGCGTTGCGAGGTGCGTCGGTTGCATCCTGATACCTCTCCGCCCTGCGTCTCGTAGGCATCGAGCTGGAGTGCGATGAGCCTTGCGCATTCTCACCACCGCCAACTCGACCGCGTCTGGAAGGTGGTCCCCTCGCTCTTTTATCCCTGCCAGTCGCTCTTCCGCTATCGATCAGTTGATCCACGATGCTAGCAGCGTGCCTGGAAGGATCCTGAGCCAGCCTGATGGACGCTCCGTCTCCCAGATCAAAGTCGAAAGCGTGATTGGTGGATTCGCCAAAGCGAATGTGCTCGTTGGTACGAGCAGTGCTCTGCGCAAGCGGGGCTCGAGAGGCGAACATGGAGCCAAAGGGACCTGCCAAGGACATGAAGTGGGAATAGGCAGAAGGATCTCCCCTTGCATTGTAGCGCTCTGGGCAATCATCGCCCCAATGCGATCCTCGAGAGGCACAATTGTAGCACCAAATCTCCTGTGTGGCCGTTGGTAGGAAACGCACGTGATGAGCAAGCCCTGACAGGCAAGGCGGATGCGAGGAAATCTTTTTTTTTTCTTCGACGAGCATATCGCCACAACGCGCAAACTTACTGCTGGATCCCAATCCGAGCTTGGACTCTGCGAAAGGCTTCGTCTGCTCCTCTTCCGCTTCCCTTTCGTTTCACTCTCACGTCGAGAATCATCGCTATCCAACTTCATATCGCTTTCCGCTTCGCTCGTCTCGCTGTCATGCTCATCCTCATCTTGAAAGCCACGTCTCAACCTCCGCCTTTCCTTTTGTATCCTCAACGCTTCATTCCTTCTGAACCTCTTCCACTCCGCATTCGTATTCCAATGATACACTCTCCAGAGCGTAGGACATCCCTTGTCTTGATGAGAAGAGCTACCGCAGCGTATGCACTCGGCTTGCCAGCGTCCTGTTGACCTGGGTTTGGGACAATCGGAAATGCGATGACCTGTCTGTCCGCATCGGAAGCAGACCACGCCATGCGGGCATTCCCGAGTCGTGTGATCGTCCAGCGCACCGCAAGCCAAGCACTTGTGATGAATGGGGAAAGATGAATGCAGCACAAGGGGTCAGTCGATGACGTTCCCCATCGCAACCGAGGTGCCGAGGTCCTCGCTGGACTTCTTTAATCCTGATCTATGAGCTGTACGCTCTTCGCAGGCTCGTCACTGGCCCACCCCTTGCCCTTGCTCTTCTCTCTTGCTCACCTGAGAATGAGGACAGCGTTTACCCAAATGACCCGTCTGACCGCATACATTGCACTCGAGCAGATTGCTCACTTGCTGCTCCTTTGCATCTTCATAATACCTCGTCCACCTCGACTGATTCAAGCTGTCGTCCGCATCTAATTCTAATTCCGCATACTCTCCCAACTCTATATCCTCCTCCTCCTCCTCCCCTTCTCTCTGCGCGGTATTGGATGGATCTTTGGAAGGACTGCCTTGTGCGCCTAATGAGGTGTTTGGATCTGAACCGGCCTGTGCTCGAGAAGAGTCGTTGGCTGAGCTAGGTGCTAAAGCGGGACCGGGAGCAGAATCGCGAGCGAGATCGGCACGTGGCTTGGAGAGGGAATGCGACGGACCTGCTTCTTCGTATGTGACGTGACCAGGCAAC